TATGGATACACCGTAATAACATGGGAATGGTTGGTGATATTAAAGTCCTGTTTGTGGCACATTAGTATATGTGAAGGGGCAAACTCCTCAAGATGGGTGGTGACCATGATGGCCATTTAGAAGTCTGTAGAATAAAGCTGTTCTTCATATTTTTGGCCACCAGATGTCACCAGAGATGACTGTGTCGAAAAGCTTCAAGTAATGAACCGTTTTTTAACACCAGCTTCAATGCTTCAGAAAGCTTAGTTTAGCCATCACTACTAGAAACTAAGGAACACGAACTAGGAAATTCATGACATGGCAAAGATGGTAGGGAATGAAATATTCTCTCAGTCTTAGGACATGAACACCTTGGATTTTTATAAATGAAATCAATGTTTTGTTCTTGTCAAACTACTCTTAAATAGAAGTTAGTAGAGTACAAAAATCTGACCAATGAGAAAGATGCTTTATGAAATGAAACTGCAGCGTCTGAGTTGAAGGCAACTGGACTTCTTATTAAGTTCTTGAAGACATTTCATTTTTCATCCAAAAAGCTTTTTCAGTTCTAAAAAGTGATGGTGAGTTTCAGATGGACACATATGGCGTCATTTGCCATTATCTCAAAAAGCATCTGTGTCTTCTAACCAAAATGTGAGCGTTTTTACTTTCAAAAGAATGATGTGAATATGTACATCTGTGCTGATGAGCTGGGCCTCCTATGTTGTACTATGCATCTGCAGAGTGGGCTCTCCTATGTAAAGGTCTGAGCACTCCTCACTCAATTGCACAGCACACACAGTTCAGTTTGTTTTTATGTGTTTTGTCATTAGGATGAAATAGTTTTTGTCCGAGGGTGTTACAGAGTACCAGCATGCTACGCTTGAAGAACACTCTTCTGAGTTTCTCCCACGAACTTGTTTGGTTTCTAAGTAGTTGAAGGTTTTTTTTCCTGAATCTCTTTAGTGTGTGTGTGTGTGTGTTAACTTTTTATTATGTTATGTTACTTTTATTTCAAATTTTGTTTTGTACTTTTTATTGCTTTAAAATA